CATGTATACATATATGGTGACAATTCCACATGCATGTGCTGATGCATCTACATGTTCAGATAAACTGTTCAGGGACGGTTTAGGGTTTAGGGTCTCGGGGAACGAGGTCTAGGTTTAGCGTTTGGGTTCCCGCTCAAACGGGAAGACACGCCGACACCCTAACAGCCCCCACTGAACCCTTCAAATTCTAAATACCTCAGGAGCTTTAGCCGTTTTCAGGGGGCTGGGAGTGGTCTCCGTGAAGGCTTAGGGTTGAGGGGTTGAGGGTTTAGGGTTGAGGGTTTAGGGTTTAGGGTTTAGGGTTTCGAGGGTTTGCAAGGTTTTGGGGCCAATCCGACCCTGAGCCCCCTGACTCCCGACACCTCTGAGGAAGCTCGAAGCGCTACAGGCCTTAATATAGGGGTCGGAATACTTCCTAATAGTATCCCCTTCTGGCCCCTTTATAATTATACTATGGTAACCCCCCCCAAGGCCCGTTCTAATTTTTCCGGCCACTTTTTTCACCTCCAAGCCCTCAAGCTCTAAAGCTTCTAAACCTCTTAAACCTCTGAATCCTAATCCACCTTCTAAACCTCCTAAACCACTGAGTCCTAATCCTCCTTCTAAGCCTCCCAGACCTCTGAGTCCTAAGCCCCCAGCCCTACCCACACCCTCCCCAAAAACAAAAAGGTAAATACATGGCACTTTTCTATGGGTTTGGGGCTACAGTCTTGCATACTTTGGGGGTCCAGGCAAGCGAAAGCCCTAAACCCCGAGCCAGCGAGGAAGCACCGCTGGCAGCAGCTGCCAAGCGCACAGGGGCCACTTTGGGCCAGGCGCGTACTCAGGGTTTCGGGCTTCGGGGGAAGTCTAGGGTCTAAAGTTCGTGGCTTAAGGGAAGTTTAGGGTTTAGGGTTTGGGGTTTAGGGTTTAGAGTTTGGGGTTTAGGGCTTTGTGAAGTTCAGGGTTAATTTAAGCCCCAAAAGGGCTCACGCCTTGAGACTCTGACCCCCAACGGCGGTACTCCTCTGCCCTTCAATGTTGTCAAGCTCCGGGCCATGTGCCAAACCCCAAAACCCTCATTTTAGGGTTCTTAAGGACCCTAACCCTATGCCCTAAACCCTAAACCCTCAACCCTCAACCCAAGGTTGCCTAATACTCCCCACTACTCCCATAAGGCTCCCTAAGCTTCCCGAAGGTTTCCTGGCAACCTACCCACCATGAACCCCCCCCCCCTCCCTTAGGAACCCTAGAACCTTAGTGTTTAGGGTTTAGGGTTTAGGGTTTGGGGTTTGGGGTTTAGGGTTTAGGGTGGGTAGGGTATCTCTCCCCACCGCCACCCGCAAAAAGCGTGTGTAAGTCGATTCCGCGGTGAGCCATAAACCCGAAATCCCAAAACCCAACCGGTGAGGGACAGTCACTCTAAACCCTAAACCCTAAACCCTGAACCCTAAACCCTAAACCCTAAGCCTACACCTAAACCCCATGACCATGTTGAAGGGTTGCGGGCCGCGGGGTGCGGGTTTAGGCATGTGAGGGTCTCAGGGGTCGAGTTGCAGGAGTTTCTGGGAAGCTTAGGATGCTTTAGGGTTTAGGGTTTAGGGTTTAGGATTTAGGGTCCTTTTGGTTCAAAGGGTTCAGGTGGCCTTTGGGACCCGATGAAGTTCTGTGATGTGTAGGTCCTCCTCCGCTGGGCCTACCAAACTGGCCGCGTCCCTCTCACAACGAGCTCCAAGCTGGAGCGCATGAAGGAGGGGGTTTAGGGTTTAGGGATGTTTAGGGTTTAGGGTTTAGGGTTTAAGGTTTAGGGTTTAGGGTTTAGGGTTTAGGTTTAGGGTTTAGGGTTTAGGGCGAATGGGTTTAGGGTTTTGGGGGAAGCCCTATACTTTGCGGTTGGTCAGGGTCCCTCCCAACCCAACACAGCAGGTCATGAGGCCGTCTGCGAGTTGGGTCACCTCAACCCTGAACCCTGAACCCTGAACCCTAAACCCTAAACCCTAAACCCTAAACCCTACACCAAGCCCCCAGGAGTATTTGAACATCTTCAGCCTGGAGCTGACTCCCGAGGAGGCCCCCCCAGCAGTTTTGGGCCGCTGTTCAAGCCCCTGAGCCCTGAAACCCCAAACCCTAAACCCCAAACCCTAAACCCTAAACCCTAAGCCCTAAACCCTAAACCCCAAACCCCAAACCCCAAACCCCAAACCCCAAACCCCAAACCCCAAACCCTAAACCCTAAACCCTAAACCCTGAACCCTAAACCCTAAACTTGAAAACCCCTATGCCCTCAACGCTATCTTCTAAGCGGAATCCCCAAAAAACCCCCATGAAGCCGTAAGTCCTAAGGTTCTATGGCCCCTAAAGCCCTTACAACCCTTGAACCCCTTAAAACCCCTTAAACCCATTAACCCTCCTTAAGCCCCTTAAACCCTAAACCCTCACCCCTTTTTTGGTGGGAGAGGTCGCTGCTATCTCGGCCGCCGGCCGGAGCGCCCCCAACAAGCGCTGCTTTTGGTCCGACTGCCTGGCCTACTACAAGGACCCTGAGAATTTGGGGTTTAGGGTTTTGGGTTTTGGGTTTAGGGTTTCAGGGTTTTGGGCCTACTACCAGGACCCTTGGGCATTCAGGGGGTTTAGGGGGATTTCAAGGGGTTCCTTGGTAGCTTGGGACTTTGGGGTGTTGGGGTCTATAGGGTTTCAGACCCGGATGCTTGGGCATGTAGGGGTTTAGGGTTTGAGGTTTTTAGGGTCTAGTTCGCTTTTCCACCAGAACCTTTGTCATCTAGGGTCTTGGGTTTAGGGTTCTACTATCAGCAACTCAGCTGGCTACTACCAGGACCTTTATGCTTCATCTATGTCTTTCGAATGTTTTTCTCTAATCTTTTCTATCTGATCTGTTTTATCCATGATATTTGTTATATATGACCAATATGATCTATATAGCCTATATGAATATATATATATATATATACATATATATATATACATATCTCTCTCTCTATATTCTAGGATCGAGTAAGCCCAAGGAGCCCTTGCAACTTGCCGAGTCAGCATGCGAGGGAAGCTCACCAAAGAATGTGCTCAGTCACCTGTGGCCCCCGAGAAGGGCACAAACGCCCCAACCCAGAACCCCAAACCCAAACACCAGGCCCTAAACCCCAACTAACCCAAACCCTAAACCCTGAACCCCCAAACCCTAAACCGTGACCCCAAACCCTCCACTCCCAACCCTAAACCCCATACCCTATACCCTAAACCCTGAACCCCCAAACCCTAAACCCTAAGCCCCAAACCCCAAACCCTCCCCCTTGGCAGGAGGATCCCGCAGCCGAGCCGGAGAGCCAGGAGTGAACCGTGGGCCTTTAGGGTTTAGGGTTTAGGGTTTAGGGTTTAGGGTTCAGGGTTCAGGGTTTAGGGTTTAGGGTTTAGGGGTTCCCGGAGGCCTTACAACCCTAAACTCTAAATCCTAAACTCCTAACCTCTAAACCCTCAAGCCAAAGCACTAAACACCCATACCCTAAGCCCCTAAACCCCTAAACCCCGAAACTCTAAACTCCCTGAACCGTATATCCCCAACCACCTAAGTTTGAGATGGCAACCTGCAGATCCACCGTGCTTTCCGACCATGAGAGGGACCCAGAGTAGGCCCTTCGTCCCTTTTTGAGTATAGGGTTTAGGGTTTAGCGTTTAGGGTTTAGGGTTTCGGGTTTCTTGTTTAGGTTTTAGGGTTTGAGGTTCGGGGTTCAGGGTTTAGGGTTGGGTCATTCCCTGTTTAGGTTCCCACATAAGCGCCTGAAACCAGGAAGGGCACGCTGCGCATTCATAGGTTACTATTGGGTCTAGATTCAGGGGGCTGAACGCATGATTTAGCTGGTAACGGTTCATGGCATCATAGTGTAATGGGGTTGTTCTTACAAGAGGTCCATCCGGTTTATGGGGGTCGAGGGTCGCGGAGTATTGACGAAGGCTTTCTCCTTTTGCGTCTCAAACACAAGACGAAGTCGCACAAGTCGATTGTGGATTGGTTTGAAAGACAGAAACATCATTCTCTCAATTGCGATTGCATGACCTAAGCCCGAAATCTTAAGCCCTAACCCTCAACCCTGCGGCCCCTAAACCTCAACTACGAAAGTACTTTCTTCTAAAAGGATCCTAAGCCCTTCACCCTAATCCCTACCTAAACCCTAAACCCTAAACCTTAAATCCTAAACCCTAAACCCTAAACCCTAACCCTAGAAGGACAGAGACGTTGTGCACTTCTCTCTCTCCCTTTGACACACCCGAGCCTGAACCCCAAACCCCTTGGGCTAGTCCTAGGGGGTTTAGGGTTTAGGGTTTAGGGTCTAGGGACCCAAACCTCAAACTCTAAACCACCTACACCCTTAACTGGGTTTTGGAGTACTATACTTCAACACTTGTTTTGGTTCTGGGTTCGTATTCTTGCTACTTCTACCTAAAAAGTATATCCCTTTTTTCCCAGGGTCTACTCCAAAGTAGGGTTAAACAAAGGCAAAGCTGGGTCGTCTTAGAGTGTCGGGCTTCTGCTTGAGAGTTACGTCACGGCCTTAAGACTCGTATCCCAAAGGCTGTGCCCCTAAAGGTTCCCCTCAACATACTCCTAGTATGGCCCTTCTTCTGCCTTAAGGATCGTTAAAAAGGTTCCGCAAACCCAGGGCTACAACCTTAAGGGGGGTTTGGGGTTTGGGGTTTAGGGTTTAGGGTTTAGGGTTTGGGGAGTTGAGGTTTAGGGTTTGGGGTGTAAGGGTTGGTTCCCCAGGTCCCCTAGTGCCTTGACTCAAGAGGCTACTAGGCCCAGGAGTAGCTAGGAAGAAAAAGGGTACCCTTTGTTGGTTTTCAGGGGATGATAAGGGACCCCCAACCCTAGTGAAAGGAAATAAGGGCCTACTCCGGGTCCTAGGCTATAAGCTAGCAATGTGTGTAGGACGCCTTGGATCCGCCCGGTTTGGGCAAACCCTAAACCCTAAACCCTAAACCCTAAAAAACCCTAAGCCCTGCACCACAAGGTGGTAAGTGTGGACACCGCGCCAACGCTGCTGATGCTCCGGCGCATGGACCTGCTTCCGCTCTGCAGGAGAACGGGCCAGGGTTTAGGGTTTAGGGTTTCGGGTTTAGGGTTTAGGGTTTAGGGTTTAGGGGTTTAGGGGTTTAGGGGTTTAGGGGTTTAGGGGTTTAGGGGTTAGGGTTTAGGGTTTAGGGTTCAGGGTTCGGGCCTTAGGGCCTTAGGGCTCCAGGACTCCCTGTTGGCCGCCTTCTCACTGTAAAGGTACCAAAAAAGCTCTTCATAAAGCCGAAGGTCAGCCTTTGTCCTCCTCGAGAATTTGAACCGGTATGTCCGGCTGGCTGGGGGTCAAGGGTTTTAGGGTTTAGGGGTTAAGGGTTTGGGGTGCAGGTTTAGCCCGAACCCTAAACCAAACCTCAACCCCTGGCCCGAAACCCTAAAACCCAAACCCCAAACCCCAAACCCCTTACACCCCAAACCTTAAACCCCAAACCCAAGCCTCAGCCAAACGGTTAATCCTAGGACCTTAACCCCTAAGCCCTAGCCCTAAACCCTGAACCCTAAATTCTGGGGAGGGCCCTAGCCCTCAACCCTCAACCCTCAACCCTCAACCCTCAACCCTCAACCCTCAACCCTCAACCCTAAACCCTAAACCCTAAACCCTAAACCCTAAACCCTAAACCCTAGCCCTAAACCCTAGCCCTAAACCCTAGCCCTAAACCCTACACCCTCCAGACGTCAGCCGCGAGGCTCCTCGACAACATCCGTGAGCTCCAAAGTGTGCTGCCGAGCCTGTCTTCCAAGGAGGCAGGGTTTAGGGTTTAGGGTTTAGGGTTTAGGGTTTAGGGTTTAGGGTTTAGGGTTTAGGGCTTAGGGTTTAGGGGGTTTGGGGTTTAGGGTTTAGGGTTTGGGGTTTGGGGTTTGGGCTTTGGGGTTTGGGGTTTGGGGTTTGGGGTTTGGGGTTTAGGACTTAGGGTTTTGGGTTTTGGGTTTAGGGTTTGGGGTCGTTAGGGTGTTGGGGTTTTGGACCGAGTTTAGTTTAGTGCTTGGGGTTTGGGTTTCAGGGAGGTAGGTGACTTGGGATGTTCCCCCTTATACGAACAGTCCTGAATAGGGATTATAATAGGGGGTACCCAATTGAGGACTGCTAGTTTGAGGGGGAACATCCCAAGAGGTGAGGGTGGTTACGGTTTTGGAGTTTGGGCCTCCGCGGGGAGGGCGTTCGAGTTTTTGGCGGCGTTTTGGGCCTGGGTGTTTGGAGGTGTGGGCTTTGGGCTTAATGAACCATTAAACCCTACACCCTAAACCCTAAACCCTAAGCCCGCTTTGGGCCTGTACCTTGTGCCCTTAGGGAGCATAGCGCCTTGCAGTGGCTTCCGGTTTTTTGCTTCGGGCCTGGGCGCGGTTGGGCTTTAGGGTGGAGGGCTTTAGGGTTCAGGATTTAGGGTTTAATTAGGGCTTGCAATGGCAGCTCTACGAGTAATTTTAAATGCTTCCTGCGATGTAGGGTGTAGGGCTTAGGGCTCTAAACCCCAAACCTTGAATCCTAAACCCTAACCCCCTAAGCCCCCAATGCTTAAACCCGGAGCCCTAAGTCCCAGCCTGGAACCCCCAAGCCCTCAAACTCTTCGACCTTTGAACATTTGAACCCTTAAGCCCCCACAATCCTTCAACCCTTGAACCCTTAAACCCTTAAGTCCCTCAACCCTTGAACCCTGAGCCCTTTAGACCCCTTGAGCCCTTCATGCCAAAGCCCGCCTCCACAAAAGAGGCCCGACCGGAGGACGCCCCGCAACTACGGAGCTCAGTGTCGCATAGCCAGGCGCGTGGTGGTTTCGGGACCGTAAAGACATGGCTTTAAAGCCTCAACCCTCAAACCCCAAACCCCAAACCCTAAACCCCAAACCCCAAACCCCAAACCCCAAACCCCAAACCCCAAACCCTAAACCCTAAGCCCTAAACCCCTCAAAGCCCCTTTGAATGTCCATAGAAAAGCTCGATGCTAGAGTTCGGGGGACTTAGGGATCAAGAGTCAGAGACCGGGGGGGAGGATCGGGGTTCCGCGTTCATGTTTAGGGCAGATCTGGGCTTGGGGCTTAATTAGGGCTTCGGGCTTAGGGTTTAGGGTTTAGGGTTTACTAGGGTATACTAGGGTTCGGGATGAGGGTAGGATAATCCGTCAGGTCGAAGTCTCGCACGAAGTGCTCCTGAACCCCAAGCTCCAAACCCCAAGTCCTCATCCCCCCAAATCCTTGGATGCCCAGTAGTGCCCTTATTCCCTTTAATTAAGCAATAAGCCCTAGACCCTAAAAAGGGGGGGGGGGGGGGGGGGCGGCACCTTTTTCTCATCCTAAGTTCCGGGGGCAACCTAGCACCCTAAACCCTAGGCCCGTAGCACCAAGCCTTGTGCTTCAGGGCGTTCAGGAGTCTCGCAAGTCGGGTAAGGATTTTGGAGGGTGAGGCGACAGCTTTTCTTCTTGCATCGTATCTGAAATGCCCTGTACAGGGACAAGGGCGGCTTACGGCTCAGCATGGATATAGGTTTAGGGCACCAATTTATGCGCCAACTTCTCCGCGACCCGTACTAGCCGTGCAGTCGTGGCTCTTGATTGTTGCACGTGAGAGCGCGGAAAGTGCTAAAGGTCTTGTGAGCTCCATTCAGGCTGCTGCAGAATGAAGGCAGAATGACCACCCACTCTCTTCCCCCCCAACTTCCAAAAACCCAGCGCTTGGCGTCAAACCCATAACCCTCAATGCAAGCAGTCCAACGCACCGCACTCAAGCCCGGCGAGCCTTCATGCATTTGGGGGGCATACCCTGTACCTGCACAAAGATCAGGGTTTAGGGCTTAGAAGGATTCGGGCTTAGGGGTTAGAACTCGAAACCCTGGCCCCCAAGCCCTAAACTAAGGAAACCTAAATCCCTGATCCCTCATAGGATGCTTGCCCCCCCCGCCCCCTGGATTAGGGTTTAGGGTTTAGGGTTTAGGGTTTAGGCCCCTACCCCCCCAATCAGGCGCCGAAGCCCGTGCAGATCTCAGACGCAGCGGGTGGCTTTGCCAGGGCATCTCTTCAGGGTTTAGGGTTTAGGGCTTAGGGTTTCAGGTTCGGGTTGCCATGGCATCTTGCAGAGATCAAGTTCTTGGTGGCCCAGTGGTACCCTTGGGTTTAGGGTTTAGGGCTAGGGTTTAGGGTTTAGGGTTTAGGGTTTAGGGTTTAGGGTTTAGGGTTCAGGGTTTCTTGGTAGCCTAGTGGTACCCTGTACCCCTTTTATTTGGTTCAAGGTTCCCTCATAAAGAAACCAACCCAAAAATGGGTGCCCTTATCATAAAAATTGTTTCCTGGGCTACTAAGAGTTACACGCGCCGATTGTCACACCTTGAAGGGATTAGGGCTTAGGGTTTAGGGTTTCGGGATGGTAGGATCAAAGATCCCGAGGCCCTAAACGCCGCCCTAAACCCTAGAATCCGAAAACCTAACCCTACACCCTAAACCCGAAACCCTAAACCCTAAACCCGAACAAGAACCTTAAATCCCGCAATGAGGCTCCGCGTCGGCAGCTTTTTCTGCGTGCCGACATCGAGGCGTCTTTGGGCGGGAGGTTGGGGTTTGGGGTTTGGGGTTCGGGGTTCGGGGTTCGGGGTTCGGGGTTTGGGGTTTGGGGTTTGGGGTTTGGGGTTTGGGGTTTGGGGTTTGGGGCTTGGGGTTTGGGGTTTGGGGTTGGGGGTTGGGGGTTCATGCTTTTAGGGCTTAGAGGAACCCTCAAAGCCTTACAGGTGTAGGGTTTGTAGGGTTTAGGGGGTTTAGGGTCTAGGGTTTAAGGTTTATAGTGTTTAGGGTTTATAGGGTTTATAGGGTTTGTAGGGTTGATAGGGTTTATAGGGTTTGGGGTTTCGAGTCAGGGTTCAGGGTTTAGGGTTTAGGAAGCCCTAAACCCTAAACACCGAAAGGCCCGAAATCCCCTCGACCCCTGTTAGAGGTTCGGGTCTTCGATTTGCTTAAATCAGGGGATGGAGACTCGCACCCCTAAGGAGGTACCCCTAAGAGATTCCCTTTTGATATTCCTAATGTGACGGTCTTTGCAAAGGGTCCCAAACCCGAAGATACAACCCTAGGGGTGAAGGTAGACTCCTATGATTAAGAACCCTGAAAAACAACAGAAAAATTGTAAACGCTTGCGCGCGCCGCCTCGGCAGCCGCGCCGGCCCCAGGACAGGAAAGGAGGAAAGAGGGTTTCTGCACAAAAAGGGGAGGAAGCGTCCAAGTTCGGGGGTCATCGGGAGGTTAACGGGGTTAAGGCAGAGGGTGTGTTGGGGGGGGGGGAGTTGGGTGGGGGGAGGCCCGATCCGCGTCTGCTTGTTCCAGACGCTTGTCGGCAGGAAGCCGAGGCGAATAATCCCTATATCGCCCTTACAAGGAAGAGGCCCTACACCCTAAATCTGGGATGTTCCCCCATATTACTAACAGTCCTTAACAGGGATTAGACTAGTGGTACTAGAATCCCTATCAGGGACTGTGAGAATGGGGGGGAACATACCAACCCTAACCCTAAACCGCCCTAAACCCTAAACCCTAAACCCTAAACCCTAAACCCTAAACTCTACAGCTTACGGCTCCTGCTGCCCACGTTGGAGTCTCTAACCAACCCAAACCCCAATGCCAGGTGCGCTTGGCCGAGTTGCCGGGATGCCCCTCCCTGAACCTGCGCTGTGTGTGGGGGGCCCCGGAGCATTGGGGAGGGTTTGAGGTTTAGGGTTTTTGGTTTTGGGTTTAGGGTTTAGGGTTTCAGGGTTTAGGAGTTTAGGGGTTTCAGGGTCTAAGGGTTTAGGGGTTTAAGGGTTTAGGAGTTTAGGGGTTTAAGGGTCTAAGGGTTTAGGGGTTTAAGGGTTTAAGGGTAAAGGGTTTAGGGGTTTAAGGGTTTAAGGGTTTAAGGTTTTAAGGGTGTAAGGGTTTAAGGGTTGAAGGGTTTAAGGGTTTAAGGGTTTAAGGGTTTAAGGGTTTAAGGGTTTAAGGGTGTAAGTGTGTAAGGGTGTAAGGGTGTAAGGGTTTAAGGGTTTAAGGGTGTAAGGGTGACGGTGTAAGGGTGTACGGGTTGAGGGTTGAGGGTTAAGGATTTAGTGAAGGTTAAAGATGTTGGGTTTAAGGGTTTAAGTTAAGGGCCTGGGGTTGCGTTCTGGCCACTATGTGGGCTCATTGTTTCAGGGGGGGGGGGGGGGGTTGGGTAGTTCTATAGCCAAAACCCGATCTCGAGGAGGACTTTCCTTCACCCTAAACCCTAAACCCTAAACCCTATAAACCCTAAACCCTAAACCAAGAACAGCTGAGTTCTGACTACATACAGCAACTCGACCCACGGGAAGACTGTCGACACCATGGGCTATGGGTTTGGCAGTTGTGTCTCAGTGCCCATGTACGGATATCGTACCTCAACCCTAGACCCTAAACCCTAAACCCGAAAGCCTAAACCCTAAAACCTACACCGCCTGGAATCCCCCCAGCACGGCAGAAACTTCAACAAACCGACGCTTCATCAGGGCCATGGGATATTGGGTGTCCTCGGTTTGGGGTTTCGGGCAACTGAAACCCTAAACCCCTGGCCCTGTAGGCCCTAAACCCTAAACCCTAAACCCGACCTAGCACCCCCCCAAAGAATACCCTCAAAACAGAATGCGCCGATGACATGGCCAGGCCATCGCGCGAGCTGGTGCAGGGTCACGCCCGACTGTCCATGCGGCTCAAGGAGCGATACCGTCAGGGTTTCCCATGAAGGTTTAGGGCTTTAGGATCTCCAAAGAACTCCTGCTAAGGTTCGGGTTTAGGGTTGTAGGGTTAAGGGCCCCCCCCCCCCCCCCCCCCCGCCCCCTGTGTATCCAAGAAGCCGCCTAAATATAATATGCGGCCTTTGCTAAACCAGGAAAGAACCCTGATATGAGTACAGTCCTGTTCCCTGCCGTTATTACGTAGGAGTAGCTGAGGGTTGCTTGCCAATGCAGGTGCACCTTGAACCCCCTAAACCTGAAGCCCTAAACCGATGGGGTTTAGGGTTTGGGGTTTAGGCCTTGGGGGGTTCAGGGTTTAGGGTTTGCGATTTAGGGTTTAGGGTTTGCGGTTTAGGGTTTGCGATTTAGGGTTAGGGTTTAGGGTTTAGGGTTTAGGGTTTAGGGTTTAGGGTTTAGGGTTTAGGGTTTAGGGTTTAGGGTTTAGGGTTTAGGGTTTAGGGTTTAGGGTTTAGGGTTTAGGGTTTAGGGACAACCAGCACCAGGAGCTGGCCCTAGAGTTGTTGGAGGCCTCGGCAGAAGGCTGGATCTTTCTTTTTTCTTTGTTCCGCCTTCTTTGGGTTTGAGGGTTTAACCCTAAACCCTAAACCCTAAACCCTAAACCCTAAACCCTAAACCCTATACCCTAAACCCTAAACCCCAAACCCTAAACCCTAAACCCAACCCTAAACCCTCAACCCAATAGCTAGAAGAGAGCCCATTCTATTCCTAAGATGCTGAGGATCCCAGCTAGGGGACGAGGACTTTCAGCGGTCCAGGGCTTTAGGGCTTTCAGGTTTTACAGGGTGTAAAGTGTTTTTAGGACTGATTGAGGGCTTCGGCCTTATAATTCAGGTCGTTTAGGGGGATTGCGTCTGCTGGCTCCAGGGGGTTTCGGGTTTAAGGTTTAGGGTTTGGTTGCACCTGTGAAATTCAACCTGCTGAGCTTAGGACGACTCCTTAATGAGAACTGGACAGTCGTTTTCAGCCCCCATCTCCACGTGCAAGCTGGTGGTTTTAAGTTTAGGGCCGTGTGGTTCAACAACTGCTGCTGGCTTACGAGTCATGTACCTTCGCTGGCGCAAGCATCTCAGGAGAGCCGTTCGAGCAGCTTGTGTACCATAACCTCAGCAGCCAGTGACAGTGATGTCGCACAGCAGCAGCGACACCGAGATCGAGTGGCGCGTGCAGGGACGTGGCGAGGAGAAGGTTCGGGAAGTGAGAAAGGTGTCGTAGGAGGTTTGGATCTTCAGAATATTGGCTGGGTCAGACCGCGGATGTAACAGCCCGACTGCCGTGAGAGGAACCTTGTAACCATAAGCCTTAAACCCTAAACCCTAACCTCGGGCTCCGCATCGTGCATACCGACGCTGCGTGTTTCACATCTCGCTGGGGAGGTGTCGCCGACATTTGACTTCAAAGCTTAGGGATGAACGCTGAAGCCGACACCCCTGAACCCGAAACCCTAAACCCTAAACCCTAAAGCTCCCACATCCCTGCCCCCGTGCATCCTCCAGCTCTGTGCCCAGTGGCTCTCGGGGTTCTTAAACTCCGTTACTCTGTAGGCCCTTGGCACATGTTAGGGTTTAGGGTTTAGGGTTTATAAAGGGTTTAGGGTTTAGGGTTTAGGGTTTAGGGTTTAGGGTTTAGGGTTTAGGGTTTAGGGTTTAGGGTTTAGGGTTTAGGGTTTAGGGTTTTTTCCCCATTGGGTTGAAGAGGATCACATTCGGTAGTATTTTTCAGAAGGTTGTTTAAGGCCATCCTAGGATAGCATAAGAAGGAAGCATGTTGCTTACATGTTGCCCATCTAACCCTACACCCTAAACCCTTCACAGCAATCCCCTACACCCCTAAACCCTAAACCCTAAACCCTAAACCCCAAACCCTAAACCCTAGACCCTAAACCCTAAACCCTCCCCACACCCGAGAAGCGGCAGGTCATGGCGCATATTCCAAGGCCGCCCACTTTCGTAGGGCCGAGGTTGCAGAGCTCATCGGGGCTTTAGGGCGGAGGGTTGTCCCTCTTTTTGTTATGGGCCTAGCTAGGGTTTTCAGGGTTTAGGCCAGTTTAGGGTTTAGGGTTTAGGCTTTAATGTTAACGTCGCTTTAATAAACCCCCCCCCCCCCAAATCTTGTTTTGGTCCCCGGGGTTTGGACGGGTCAAAAAAAAGAGAGGGTGTCAATAATGAGGATTCTGGGGTCTGGGGTCTGCGGCCTGGGGGTCTAAAGGTTTTAAGTAAGGAAACCTGGCTTTGAGATCTCTGGCGGCTTCCTGAATTCCAGGACCCGAAGGCTGAAGTCTTAAGCTTCAGGGATTCTTGCCTTGAGACTTGGACCAGGACCCGAAGCCTGAAGTCTTGAGCTTAAGGGTTCTTGTCTTGAGACTTAAAGGCAGCCATTTAAACTTGAGGCTTCCTTGGTTCCCCCCCCCCTCGCCGAAATTATTATTGCCACCCATTTACTATTGTCATTTTGGAGGCCCATAAGGGGTACCCTTTCCGGACTTGTTTTCGAGCCCCGGCGGATAAGGATTTTAGTAAAGAAACCTTGCTTTCAGACCTCTGGCGGTTTCCTGAATTCCAAGACCCGAAGGCTGAAGTCTTCAGCTTCAGGGACTCTTATCTGAAGCCTTAGAGGAAGACCTGCTCCTCTGAAGAAAGAGGCCTGAAGCAGCAGTTTCTCGCAGCTCTGGAGCTGCAGCAATCTCAAGAGGCACCTGCTTCTCTGAAGAAACAGGCCTGAAGCAGCAGTTTCTCGCAGCTCTGGAGCTGCAGCAATCTCACAAGACAAGCAATCTCAAACGAGATCTGCTTCTCTAGAGCCTCGGAGCTCGAAAAGTCTTCTCTGCAAGTAAAATTTCTGATTCCTGGCCGGCCAAATATTACTGTTGTCACCCCATTATTATTTTCACCGGACCCCCCTATATAGACTTGTTTACACACATCGGCCCGAAAACCTCCCGTAATGGAAAGTAGTCTTCGGCTGAGCCCCTCTGGCCCGGCGAATATTACAGTTGCCACCCCATTTATAGATGTGAGGTTAACATTAGGGTTTAGGGTTTAGGGTTTAGGGCTTAGCAAGATTGAGTTTTAGAATACAAGACCAATTCCAGAAGGTAGTGGCGCCCTCTTGGGGATGTACAAGATCTCCCTCTGGGAAGAGCTGTAAGCCCTTTCTGCCCTACACCCTAAACTCCAAGCCCCAAATCCCGAACCCTTAGCCCCTGAGAGCCTACTTTCCATACTTCGGCCCGGGAAGCCAGCCCTCGACAAAGGCCAAACCTTACCTAATCCCTAAAACCTACACCCCTAAACCCTAAACTCTAAACCCACACCCCTAAATCCTGATCTCCAAGCCTTAAACCGTAACCCCTAAGCCCTCACTCCTCAGTCCTCAATCCTCAACCCTCAACCCTAAACCCTAAGCCCTAAACAGGCCCTAAACCCTAAGCCCTAAACCCTAAACCCTAAACCCTCAACCCTAAACCCTCAACCCTAAACCCTGAACCCTAAACCCTCAACCCTAAACCCTAAACCCTAAACCCTAAACCCTAAAGCCTAAACCCTAAACCCAAGCCTAAACAGACCAGAGCCCTGCACTCGATTCCCGAAGCCAAACCTTAAGACCCCAAAGCCCTCTAAGCCCTAAGCTGCCCCAAAGTTATTGTTGCTTCGGGTTTAGGGTTTAGGGTTTAGGGTTTAGGGTTTAGGGTTTAGGGTTTAGGGTTTAGGGTTTAGGGTTTAGGGTTTAGGGTTTAGGGTTTAGGGTTTAGGGTTTAGGGGTTCAGTGGTGTAGGTTTAGGGTTTAGGGTTCATAGGGTTTAGGGATCATAGGAGTCTCGAATGAAGGGTCCGGGGTTTTAGGGTTTCGGGGTTCGAGGTTTACGGCTTTTGCAGTTTCAGGGTTTCAGGGACTCCGGGTCCCCTTAAAAAATCCCTGAACCCTAAACCCTAAACCCTAAACCCTAAACCCTAAACCCTAAATCCTAAACCCTAAACCCTAAACCCTAAACCCTAAACCCTAAACCCTAAACCAGGCCTCCGCGCGCTTGGCCTTCGAGGGCCTCCGGCTAACGCTGCAGAGCGCGGCGGCGGGCACTGAGCCTTGGCGTTGTTGGGATGTTTAGGGGAGCTACGTAAGGTTTAGGGTTTAGGGGTTTAGGGGTTAGGGGTCAGGGGTTGTGGGTTTAAAGGGGTAAGAACGAGTTTATGGTTTAAGGGCTTGAAAGAATCTAAGGGTTTATGAGTTTAAGGGCTTTAAGGTTTTTTGGTACGGGTTTAGGGGTTAGAGGGGTTGAGGCTTATAGGTTTTAGGGTTTGAGGGATTAAGGTTTGTGGGTTTATGGGTTTCAGGATTGTTGGGGCGTCTTAAGGTTTACGAATTTAGTGTTGAGGGGTTTAGGAGTTCAGCTTGACCTTGAAAAACCGAAGCTCTTAAGGATGTACGGTTGAGGGCATCAGGTGTTTCGAAAGGCTCTGTTTTGGTTTGGGGTTTAGAGTTCTGGCCTAGCTGTATCAACCCTAAGCCCGACATCTTTCAGGGCTTTCGGATCTTTCCTGCTGTTTAGTTCCTTGAAGGGTTGGAAATGAAGATTAGCCTACATTCGGGAGCCCATGATGTGCTGAGATCCCCATGTGGTCACTCTAGGCTTGGCCGCTCTTTTTATCAATCAAATAATCGAGAATAATTAAGATATAAGAATTATATACACACCACATAAACACAAAACTATAGAACAACAACAAATGATTATAGTAACCAGTCTGCTGGCCGAAGCCCTGCCGGGTCAAACGTCCTAAGCCTAGCCGGCATGAAGACTGCCGAGCTTGCCAAGTTTCTCAAGGCGCGAATCGAAGAGCAGAAGCAAGTTACGCAGAGTCATGAGTCCCGCGTCACCACCATGAAGACTGAGCTGGCGAAGTGGTTCGAGTCTGACCCTGCAGCCTCAGAAGACATCCATATCAACCCGGACGCAGGGTTTAGGGTTTGGGGTTCGGGGTTTAGGGTTTAGAGTTTAGGGCTGGGGGGTTTAGGGTTTAGGGTTTAGGGTTGGGGGGTTTAGTGTCAGAGGCAGGGTCAGGGGCTGAGGGTTTAAGGCCAAACATCCGTCGTGCCAAGGGGCTTTTCTCAGGCTGTTTGGGGGATTGGTTTAGGCAGAGTAAAACCCTAAACCCTAAATATAGGCCTTTAGGGTTTAGGGTTTAGGGTTAGAATAGGGTTTTGGGGGTTATTATGGTAGAAGTATATAGGGGCCATAAGGGAATACTATTAGCAATTATTCCGACCCCTAGACTAGCCCTCAAGCCTCTAAGCCCTAAAACCTAAACCCTGTATGGCTCTTGGGTTGTCATGGCTTTTGGGGGTCTTAGGACCCGGGTGTTGCAGTGCCCTCAGGGTTTCTTAGGGGATTAGGGCTTAGGGTTTATGTTAGAACTACATGGTCACCTACGTCTTCCTTCTGACTCTCCTATGGCGGGTCCTTCTTTGGCCTGGGGCAAACCAAAAGCCCCACACAGCCCGAAATCCAAAACCCGAAGCCCTAAGCCCTAAACCCTTAGAATCCCTAAACCCTAAATCTTCGAACCCTAAACCCTAAACCCTAAACCCTAAACCCGAAACCCGAAACCCGAAACCCTAAACCCTAAACCCTAAACCCTAAACCCTAAACCCTAAACCCTAAACCCTAAACCCGAAACAAACCTATAAGGAAGTCAGCGCCACGGTGGACAACATCTCGGCCACCCACGGGACGGAGCAACAGATGTGGCTGCGGATGATGGCCTCCAGCTGGGGGCCCTAGGGTTTAGGGTTTAGGGTTTAGGGTTTAGGGTTTAAGGTTTCGGGTTTGGGGTTTGGGGTTTGGGGTTCAGGGTTTAGGGTTTAGGGTTTAGGGTTTAAGGGCCAGCCTTAAGCCTCAAGCTGGGGGCTTCCGGGTTCCCCTCAACATCCCGGGCCCCAAACCCTAAACCCTAAACCCTAAACCCTAAACCCCGAACCCTTAAAAGTCACCCTCGAGGTTTTGGGGGGGCTTTTTTGTCGGGAACCTCCCCCCATATGGGCTCAGAATTCCCTCAACCCTGAAACCTAAACCCTAAACCCTAAGCCCGAAGCCCTAAACCCTAAACCGGGGTTTAAGCCTGGAACTCTTGGCCGGTTTCAGGGCCTTTGGGCTCAAGGGTTAGGTTGAGTTTTTGGGGTTTAGGGTTTAGGGTTTGGGGTTTAGGGTATGGTGCTCGAGGTTCTCCGCCTGCAGCAACAGCTCCTCCGCCTGCACCCTGATAGACGGCGCAATGCCAATTACGGCACCAGAAGCCCTGGCGAAGTACCCTCTACTTATCTTTGGGGTTTAGGGTTTAGGGTTTAGGGTTTCTGTGTGGTGCTTTACTGTAACTTTAGACACTGGATTCCTTTTGTAGCTACTTATACCCAAAAAGTATATCCCTAAACCCTAAACCCTAAACCCTTTGTGGTGCCTTACTGTAACTTTAGATCCTTAGCTTTTTGGGTTTATTGGGTTTCTCAATAAGGCAGCTAAAATTTTAATGTTTAGCTACCCTCCTAAGTGCAAGTACTACGCCTCAAGTCCACGGCCCTAAACAAGCCGTCTCAACCTTCAAGACTCTTAAGAAGCCCGCTGCACCTTAAGCCCGCCCCTAAACCCTAAACCCTAAACCCTAAACCCTAAACCCTAAACCCTAAACCCTAAACCCTAAACCCTAAACCCTAAACACTAAACACTAAACCCTAAACCCTAAACCCTAAACCCTAACCATAAAGAGCCGATATTCCTCAAAAGCACCCAGGCATGCACCATCTTCACTTCAAGTACTGTGCCCGCAACCTGTTGGCCTGCGGCCAAGACCGATCTCAAGAGCTTTCGGATTTCAGGGTTCAGGGTTTCGGGTTTAGGGTTTAGGGGTTTTGTGGTTCAGGGTTTTTGTGGCTCAGGGTTTTTGTGGTTCAGAGTTTTTGTGGTTCAGGGTTTTTGTGGTTCAGGTTTTGGGGTCATTCGGAGAGCCATTTCTGCATACAAGTCTTGAAGCCTTGACTTGAATCTCCTTCTTCAACTCTGAACCCTAACTAGATCCTAAGCCGTGAAGGCTGCAGGGGCTGAGAGCTGTACAGGTTTAAGGCTTTGATGAGGCTCCCCATCAGTAATCGAATGAAAGACATTCCACTTCAACAGGCCCCAGGCCCTAACCCAATAAACCCTAAACCCTATAAACCTTCAACCCTCAACCCTAAACCCTGAACCCTAAACCCTAAACCCAACGCAAAGATCGGCCCCCCTGGTATCAGGTCTTTTCCATGGAGCCGACGGCACTTCGCGTGCACTCCGCTTGGGCTGGGGCCTCCAGCACCCTGGGCTCGGGCAGAAGTTGGACTAAGAGTTTAGGGTTCAGGGTAGCCGATGGCACCCAAGTTGGCCTGAAGTCCGAGCCCGGTTTCGGGTTTAGGGTTTAGGGTCGAGAGTTTAGGGTTCAGTCCTCAAAGCCCTAAACTTACTTACACACCTTTAGCCCTACCTTAAGCCCCCCTGAAATTCGACGCCACCAACTTAAAAGCCCAGCGCCTAAACCCTAAACCCTAAACCCTAAACCCTAAACCCTAAACCCTAAACGCTAAACCCTAAACCCTAAACCCTAAACCCTAAACCCTAAACCCTAAACCCTAAACCCTAAACCCTAAACCCTAAACCCTAAACCCTAAACCCTAAACCCTAAACCCTAAACCCTAAACCCTAAACCCTAAACCCAAGCCCAGCGCCGAGATGAAGCCCGTGGCGTCGCTTCTCTTCGGCGTAGGGTGGTGGCGGAATGCCAGTCGCCTTCATGACCGCGGCCCAGTTTTGGGTTCAGGGTTTAGGGCTTGGGGTTGGGGTTTAGAGTTCAGGGTTTGGGGTTTCGGGCTTCGGGTTTGGGGTTTAGGGTTCAGGGTTTAGGGTTTTGGATTTAGGGTTTAGGGTTCAGGGTTCAGGGTTTGGGGTTTAGGGCCTTCATGACTGCGATCCAGTTTATCAAGGGACGAAAAGAGGGGCCCTTATGAGAGGAATCTAGGGCTTATTCAGGGGTTTTCCAGGGGCTACTTCGGTATGTGGGGACTATATGTGGTCTCTATAGGGGTTGTCTCATTTTACCACTTTGAGGGGTTTAGGGTCTTGGGAGGTTTTGGGGCTTTGGGAGGTGTAGGGCTTTGTCAAGGGATGACGACTCGTACCCCTAAAGGTTCCCCTCAATATACGTGCTCCTAGTATGGCCCTATGTTCTCCTCGGGATCCTGAAAAAGGGTCACCCAAACCCAAGTGTACAACCTTCAGGGTCCAAGGTGACTTTGGGAGGTATCGGGCTTTGAGGGGTGCAGGGCTTCAGGAGCTTCAGGGCTTTGGGAGTGTTTAGGGTTTCAGGGTTCTAGGGTTCTCTTTTTTCAGGGGGGAATTAGGAGGCTTAGGGTTTAGGGTTTAGGGCTTAGGGTATAGGGTTTAGGGTTTAGGGTTAGGGTTCGTAGGCTTGGGAGGACTGAAGTTTGAAGGGCTCGGACTCTAGGACACTGCAAAGCCTCGTGGACTCCCGGGTGGGGCATGATGCTGGGCCTCAAGGAGGCCTTGAGAAGGTGGACAAAATCCTAAGCCCTAAGCCCTAAACCCTCAACCCTAAACCCTAAACCCTAAGCCCTAAGCCCTAAGCCCTAAACCCTAAACCCTAAACCCTAAACCCTAAGCCCTAAGCCCTAAACCCTAAACCCTAAACCCTAAACCGGCCGCCCTAAACCCACCCCTGGAATGCTTGGGAGTGCATGGACAGGCACTTATTGTGAGCACGAAGCATTCAGCTTGCAACCTCGTTTTCCACTTGTGGATGTCAGGGCTCACTTGGAACTTGACCTGGATTCAGACCCATATTTCTGGGGTTTAGTTGATGAGTGGCTTCAGCGGAATCCTCACGATGCCAACTCCCTGCAACTGTGAGCACGAAGCGTTCAGCTTGCAACCTCAAAAAGGTTTATCTGCCTAACCCTGGCGAGGCGCGGAGCTTGCCAAGCACGCCTGGGTAATAGGGTTTAGGGTTTAGGCTTTAGTGTTTAGGGTTTAAGATTGTACCCCGTGGCGGAATGGTGATCGGGCCTTCAAGCGGCCTTGGCCTATGGCCTACACGCAGCAATGGAGGATGCGCGTGACCAGGACAGCTGAGAGAGGCAGGTCGCAGACCAGCATGTTTGTTGGTTGATTTGGTGGCGCTGCATGGCCGGATGAGATTCCATGAGTACCGAGTTGAGGGTTGGGTTTCCGGTTGGGGGCCCTAAACCCCAAACCCTAAACCCTAAGCCCTAAACCCTAAACCCTAAACCCTAAACCCTAAACCTGCATGGCGTAAGAGCTTGAGGTTGATTTGGGGGTTTTGGGGTTCGATATTCAGGCCTGCCGAGGCTTACTTACCTCCCTAAACCCTTGGGGCCTTAAACCCCCTTAAACCCCTGAAACCCTCAAACCCCTCAAACCCTTAAACCCCCTTACATCCCCTTAAACCCTTAAACCCTTAAACCCCCCTTAAATCCCCCTTAAATCCCCTTAAACCCCCTTAAACCCTAACTCCCAAACCCTAACCCTAAACCCCAAATTATGCTTGCCATCAGCCACTTGGCACCCTCGGCTGTACACCCGAAGCCGGGTGTGCGGTGTACCTGGTGGGACCCGCTTGACCTGCAGTGTTGATGGGTTATTACCTGCTAGTTAAGGGTAGATACTGCTAAAATTATACACTATACCTACGAATTCAGGGTAGTTACGACGAAACTGTAGGCAGACAGAGTCCCAGCTAGGGTTTTAGGGTTTAGGGTTTCGGGCTTCGGGTTGAACATAGGTTCTTTAGGAGTTTCGCGGGGCTTTCAGGGTTTGTACAGGGTTTATAGGGCTTGTAGAGCAGGGGCGTACAGGGCCCTGAGCCCTAACTAAAACCCTAGACCGAAGCCCTAAACCCTAAACCCTAAAACCCAAACCCTAAACCCTAAACCCTAAACCCTAAACCCTAAACCCTAAACCCTAAACCCTAAACCCTAAACCCTAAACCCATGAGCGGTTTTCGGGTTGTGCTGAAGTCGCCAGAGGATCCCGATGCCGGCTGGAATGGGCTGGGCCTCACAGCGGCAGTGCCCCAGGCCTTTTGTCTGTTGAGGGCTATTTAGGGTTTAGGGTTTAGGGTTTAGGGTTTAGGGTTTAGGGTTTAGGGTTTAGGGTTTAGGGTTTACGATATTAGGGGGGGTACCTTCTCGAGGTCCTTTTTTTAAGGAACCCTACTATTTGGGGGACTCTATTCGGGGTCCCCTATTTTCGTAACCCCATTGCTCCACAACCTTCTGTTGTCCTGCGGCTTAGTGTTTAGAGTGGAAGCTTATGAGCTTGCTCATCGTCGTGGTTCTTAGGAGGGATGTTGAGAAATACACCCCCCCCCCCCACTTAAACCCTTAAAGTGATATCTGTTAGAGGGGGTACAAGTAGGCATATGATGTTCCCTTGCTAGGCACCTATGAAAAGTGCACGCTCTCTCAATTTCAGGGTGTTCGGCGAAAGCCAAAGCCCGAAGCCCAAACCCCAAAACCCTAAACCCTGACCCCTAAACCCCAAGTCTAAGCCCTAAGCACTAAGCCCTAAACCCTAAACCCTAAACCCTAAACCCTAAACCCTACACCCTGCACCCTGCACTCTAAACCTAAACCCTACCAACCTTAAAACCCTATAAACCCACTAAACCCTCCACGAGCAGGCCGACCGTGGCGGTGGGAACGCGGACTCGGTGCGTCCGCTGCTGACCGGCGAGGCAAGCCTGCTTTCAAGGGGTTTAGGGTTTAGGGTTTAGGGTTTAGGGTTTAGTGTAGGCCCTAGTTGGTAGGCCACGGTAACCTAGGGTTTGGGGCTTGTAGGGTTTAGTGTAATTGAAGGTTCATGACTATAGGTAGGCCCTTGGGATATTTTGAATTTTCCATCAGGGAGAGAGTTGAAGCTTGACCAAAGACTGTATCTTTTCATTCGGTCCCCATCAGCACCCTAAACCCTAAACCCCAAACCCTAAACCCTAAACTCTAAAGCCTAAACCCCAAACCCTAAACCCTAAACCCTAAACCCTAAACCAGCAGATACGGTGGTTTCCTGCTCATGGTAGCTTCATGTAAAATTCTGAAGGTAGGAAGTGTGGGGTGGTTTGGGGATGGGTCCAGTGCGCGCAGGCATTTTTGGAGAGAGCAGAAAAGAATCAGACGGGTTAGGGTTTAGGGTTGAGGGTTGAGGGTTGAGGGTTGAGGGTTGAGGGTTGAGGGTTGAGGGTTGAGGGTTGAGGGTTGAGGGTTGAGGGTTGAGGGGGTGGACATCCGAAACCACGATTGGGGCTGGGCTTCTCGAGGGCTCCCTGAAACTGAGATCCCAAAAGCCAGAACACCCAAATCCCTAAGCCATAAGAGCCCTAACTAAATCCTACAACCCCGAAAGGCCATGAATCCTAAATCCTATGAGCCCTCAACTCTAAATCCCAATTCCCAGAAACCCCCCAGCCCTGAACACAAAATTCCCTCAACCCCAAACGCGCGGAGCCAGGGCTTTAAGACTTTGGCTTTGGCAGGTCAGCCGCGAACCCCTCAATCATCAAAGTATTCAAAAACCTAAGCCCCAACCCCTAAGCCCCAACTTGCCTAAACCCTAAACCCTAAACCCTAAACCCTAAACCCTAAACCCTAAACCCCTAAACCCTGACCCCTAAACCCTGAGTCAACTGTCGGCTTGCTGAGCAACAGAAGCATTCGAGGCCGCGTGTCCCACGGTTGGCCAACACCAGAACAATGCAATCCCTGCGCGCATCGTCAAGATTGTTTTTGGAGATGCGTCTCCCAGAGCATTGCTTGACAAATCCCCGAGGCCGACGCGTCATACTGGAAGAAGAGTGGGGCGAGAAGGAGCAAGAAGTGAGCCGGATGTTGGTGCGCAGCCTGATGTACAGCAACTTCATGGGCTTGCAGGCGGCCGTCGCTGGGTGGAAGCTTAAGGACAACTCCGACGGACCAGCACCAAAGGTTGCGTGCCATCTTGGCAGACTCGGAAGACATCTGGTAGGTCGCCTGGAACCTGTCCGGAGACGTCTATCTTCGGACGACCTTGCCGAAAGCCCTTAAAACCCTACAAACCCTTCAATCCCCTGCCCGAGCCCGCTTCGGACGCTCTTGAGGCGACCCTAACCCCTAAACTCTACACCCTCAAAACCCTCAAAACCCTCAAAACCCTCAAAACCCCAAACCCTAAACCCTAAACCCTAAACCCTGAAAAACTTTCAAAGGCCTAAAGCCGCTGACAGGACCTGGCCCTCAAGCAATGGATGGGCAACCCTAGAGCCCAAACCCTCAAAACCCTCAAAACCCTCAAAACCCTCAAAACCCTCAAAACCCTAAACCCCTAACCCTAAACCCTAAACCCCTAACCCTAAACCCTAAACCCTAAACCCTAAACCCTAAACCCTAAACCCTAAACCCCTAACCCTAAACCCTACCTAAATCCTAAAAACCCTCAAGGCCCTAAAGCCCCTGGCAGGACCTCGCACTCAAGCAATGGATGGGCACGGTCTGGCAGCTGCACGGGGAGCCCAGCGTCGACGCGGAGGCAGCCGGGCTGGGGAGTGTAGACTACATGGAAGTCTAGGTGTTTAGGGTTTAGGGTTTAGGGTTTAGGGTTTAGGGTTTAGGGTTTAGGGTTTAGAGACTAGGGTTTAGGGTTTAGGGTTTTGGGTTTAAGGCCAGATTGCGGGACAGAGGGCTTGAAGATCTAGGGGTATGGGGATGAAGGCTCAGGGTCTACAGACTTTGAAACCTTAAATCAGCAGGTGACTTCTGGGTGAGTCGTGTAGGCTTGGGTCCTCATATTAAAGGATTTGTGAAGTAAGGGTTTAGGGTTTGGGGTTTGAGGTTTAGGGCTTAGGGTTTAGGGTTTAGGGTTTGAGGAAATCTGAAGACACGAGCCCAAGTGACTACGTTGACGGTGCTGGATATGCAATTCTCGCTTCCCGCGCAGAAACGAGAAGTCCAGCCCCTGAACTTCTTCAGCGTCTTTCTAAAATCCTTCTCTACCCTTCACACCTAACAACCTAAATCCTAAACCCTAACCCCCCCCCCCCCCAAAAAAAAAAAAAAAGTGTATATATATATATATAATAGAAAATACAAGAAAAAAACCTACAACCCCACGGCCGAAGCACCCCAGAGCCTAAGCAGCCCACAACCCCCGAAAACCCCAAAGACCCAGAACCTTGAAAGCCCAACCTCCAATTCCCTAAACCCCTCAAGAGCCTACACCCAAGAAAGGACCGACACCTTGCGCACTAAAGGCCGAAAGGCCCTCAACCACATATGTGGTCAGTTCTCTAAATTATGGTCCCTTTGGGGGTTGCTATTCTAAGGCGACCCTTAATACATAGGGCACCCCCAAAAAGGGACCGTAATGTACGGAGAACTAACCATATGGTAGATGATCGGAGATTCTTTTTCCGACACCCCCCCTAGGAAGACTACAGTAGATAACCCTAAACCTTAAACACCCTAAACGACGCCAGACGCCCTAGAAACCCAAACCCTAAACCCTAAACCCCTGAACCCCTAGAAACCCAAACCCAGAATCCTAAAACCTAAACCGGACCCCTAGACAAACCCTAAACCCTAATCCCCGGAACCCTAGAAACCCTAGACCCTAGACCGAGAACCCCTAGAAACGCTAACGATTTTGTTTGGGGCTTTCCGAAAATGGGGGTACCCTTTTGGGGGGTCCGTTTAAGGGGATTCTATTCTATTTGGGGCATAAAAGGGTTTATGGTTTGGGACCTTAAACCCTAAACCCTAAGCCCTAAACCCTAAACCCTCAACCCTAAACCCTAAACCCTAAACCCTTATTTGGGAAATGCCCACACAAGCCTGAGAGCCCTGGAGGTTCCCCCGCCAGCGCGGGTAATCCTTCAGATCCAGCCGGATGGCAGCCTGTGGGTGCGGAGGTGGCGTAGGGTTTAGGGTTTAGGCTTTAGGGTTTAGGGTTTAGGGTTTAGGGTTTAGGGTTTAGGGTTTAGGGTTTAGGGTCTGGGTCGCCTCAGGCCGCGAAGCACGGCTTCGGGTGTTTAAGAGTTTGGTGGGTTTTTTGCGGGGTTTTCGGGGGTTTGGGGCTCAAGGGTTTTCAGGGGTTTGTGGTTTAAAGGTTTCGGAGACTCAGTGCTTCTGGTTACCCTGAACCTAAGCCCCAAACCCTAAAGCCTAAAGCCTAAAACCCTAAACCCCCTTCAGGGGTGTTAGGGTTTCAGGGTTTCAGGGTTTCAGGGCTTGAGGGGTTTAAGGGCTTTAGGGGAGCAACCGTTGGACCTGGCCTTTGAATTATGGCAGGTTTCGAGTTCAGGCTCTTTTGGGTTTAGGGTTTGGGGTTTAGAGTTTAGGGTTTAGGGTTTAGGGTTTCATGTTCAGGAATTAGGATTCTGGGTTCAGGTTTTTAGGGTTCGGTTCAGGCTTTCAGGCTTTTAGGGCTTGGGTGTTTTGGGTTTAGGGTACGGCGACGCTCAGGCTCAGTCTGCCTTCTTTCTTGAGCCGGCCAATTGTGTCGGGCAAAAGCGCTAAACCCTAAACCCTAAAAACCCTATAATAAACCCTATAAACCCTATAAACCCTATAAACCCTATAAACCCCATAAACCCCCTAAACCCTCTAAACCCTATAAACCCTATAAACCCTATCAACCCTATAAACCCTATAAACCCTATAAACCCTCTAAACCCTCTAAACCCTATAAACCCTATAAACCCTATAAACCCTAAACCCTAAACAGCTTAACCCGTTAGGGTTTAGGCTTTAAGGGCCCCCACAGCATCCCAATAGCCTGCTCTCCGCCACCAGAAAAGGAGCCCCTGTGAAGTTATAAACCCCTAAACCCTAAACCCTAAACCCTAAACCCTAAACCCTAAACCCTAAACCCTAAACCCTAAACCCTAAACCCTAAACCCGCCAGCCCTCTTGTTGGGGTTACACTCCCTGGTGCTAACAGTTGCTTCCCACCAAGTTTCCGTTTAACTCGAAATCCCGAACTCCCTAAACCACAACAACCCTGAGCCCAAATCCCTAAAAAAGACCTCTACCCTAAACCAAAAAACTCTGAGCCCGAAGCCTTACACGCCCTAAGCCCTGTACCCTAAACCATAAACACCCTAAGCCTCAAACCCTAAAAACCCTCTACCCTAAACCCAAAACCCTAAGCGCCCTAGACCCTAAACCCTAAATGCCCAAGACCCTAAACCCGAAGTCCTAAACCCTACAAACCCTTAACCCCAAACCCTAAAACCCGAAGCCCCTGTGAGGGACTCGGCGAGTCTGTGGATACCCCTCCTCTCGAAGTCCTTCGCGCGGATGCCTGGATTGCTTGGGCTTCCGTCAGACTGAGTATGCTTTAAGGGGGGTCTAGGGTTCGGGAAATAGGGTTCAGGGTTTAGGCAACAGGGTTCAGCGTTTAGGGCTTTGGGTTTTGGGTTTATTAGGGTTTAGGGTTTAGGGTTTAGGGGTGTAGGGTTTGGGGGGTTGAGGTTGTCGTGGGGCTCGAGGGACCTGATAGCCTTGGGTTTGGAGACCCTGTTAAAACATAGGGACTGGGTAGTTAACCTTCAAATTTTGGTTTAGGGTTTAGGGTTGTATCCTACTTGATTTCAAGGGTAGGCAGCCCCGAAGCATTCTTAAAGTAGATATGAAGGGAAACCTTGGGGGGTTCGGGTGTTGGGCTTTACAACCCCTAAACCCTACACTCTTACCCTTGGGGGTTTATAAGGGACCCTATATACAAATACTTTCAAAGGGCTTAAAGTTTAAGTTTAAAGGCCAACCCAGTTATTGAAGATTCCCTACTAAGTCTTGCCAACATTCGCGCAAGGCTGCGACGAACTACCGCCACTTCCAGACGGAAGTCTTCCCGTTCGGGATTTGCTGCACCAGCCCTGGCCCGAGTAGCCCTAAACCCCAAACGCCCAGACGTGGGGGGGCGGGGGGGGGGGTTGCCACTTCGAACCCTGACACGTCTCGGCTGCTCAGCTGGGGGTTGGGCTGAAGATGGTGGCGGTTTAGGGTTGAGTTTTGGGGTATGTATAGGGTTTATCGTGTTTATGGGGGCTTGTAGGGCTTGTGTGGGTTTACAGGGTTTGGTGGTCTAGGGTTTACCCTTTCCATTATTAGGTATTACTCTGGGACCCAGAAAAAGGATGCATGGCTTAGTGTTGCACTTCCAGAAGCTTCACGCCTCGTTTCTACTGCTTTTAGGGATTAGGGTATCCAAAGGTCCCAAAACCTAAGCCCTACACCACCTTGACCCCTAGGGCCAAGAACTCCAGGTGCTCTCGGCCTAGGAGCGCAGATGCAGAATGTAGGCTTTAGGGTTTAGGGGTTTAGGGGTTTAGGGGTTTAGGGGTTTAGGGGTTTAGGGGTTTTGGGGTTTTGGGGTTTAGGGCTGAGGTCCATGGCATACTTGAGGATCCTGATGCAGGTGCTCTAAACAAGAGCTCCCGGCTCCACCCCGACTGTACTTTAGAGGAACATCCGAGATTCAAGGGCTGAGTTTAGAGTTTAAGTGTTTGTTTAGGGTCTAGGGTCTAGGGTCTAGGGTCTAGGGTCTAGGGTCTAGGGTCTAGGGTCTAGGGTCTAGGGTCTAGGGTCTAGGGTCTAGGGTTTAGGGTTTAGGGTTTAGGGTTTAGGGTTTAGGGTTTAGGGTTT